ATCCTTGGTGGGATGAACGACCCTCCTGTGGTATGCACAGTACTTTGGATCCGTAGTGTTGTCAGCTTCATCCTGATTTATGATAGGTGGTAGCTTGATCTTGTTACCTTCCAGGAGGGATTCGAAGATGGCTGGAACGTCTTCGTCCTTGAAAGAGTACTCTTTTTGGAGTCTCGGACCCAAAGTCTTTTGCTGCCTTCGGTCTTTTGCTGCCTTCGGGATTGCTGTTGTGACGTTTGATTAGCACCATCAGCAGCTGCAGGTGCCTTGCCCTTACCACGAGAGGCGAAGTTTGAGTTCAGCGGATTAACCGTCGGTTGGTTCCTCTCGGCCTTCTTCCTTCTAAGGAATCGCTCAGCCTGCTCCCCTCGAACCTTTAGATCCTTCCAAGTGTCAGACGGTGCTGTCCCCATTGCTTCCAATATGTCTAAGGACAGATTATTATGGCAGGTCTGGAGAATGAATTCCTCGGTGATCGGGTCCCGGCAATTCATCGCTTTGTTCCGGAACCTTTTGACGAAGGTGTCGACTAACTCCCCGTCCTTCTGCTTCTCATCGAGCAATGATCCGATAGATATCTCGGTGTCGTCGTCGAAGAAGTTGGCCAGGAACTTGGTCTCCATGTCATCCCAGCTGTTCACGCTGCCTGGCTTGAGGCGGCGATACCAATCGTGCGGACGAATGACCGCACCATCAGAGGCTCATTGTCGGAAATAATACCCAGGTGCGATTTGAAATAAATCAAATGCTGAGTGGGGGAACCCTTCCCATCGAACGGCGTGAAGTTGATTAGATTGAACTTCGCCGGATATGGGATCGATTCCCACTCTCTTGGGTATGGACAGGGAATGCCTATTTTCTTCATACCCAGGTGCGATTTGAAATAAATCAAATGCTGAGTGGGGGAACCCTTCCCATCGAACGGCGTGAAGTTGATTAGATTGAACTTCGCCGGATATGGGATCGATTCCCACTCTCTTGGGTATGGACAGGGAATGCCTGTTTTCTTCGTCTCTTGAGCGGAGATCAATGTGTTGATTTTGCTCTCGAGATCTTTGATCTTCAAGTCTTCACTTGTATCCTCGTTGGCATCCTCGTTACCACCCCCTGCATTGACGGGAGGGTTATTGGCATTGTGAGCTTCATCCCTATCCGTGTGCTCCTCTTCCTGAACAACCTGGTTACGGCGGCTTGGTTCACCTCGCTGGTTCGTCAGTGCCTGAATTTGTTGCTCATGCATTTCTCTCATGTTCTCTGGTCTCTGCACTCGAACACTGAAAGTTTCCTGGCTGTTGTAGCGCCAAAAGCACTCTTCCATCACTTTGGCAATTTGCTCCGCACCTCCTCATCAATGACTCACGGGGTCCCTCCTCAAACTGGACACCAGTATTATCTGATGCGATTGCGGAGCAGGTATCCGACCTTCACCCTTCTGAGGTACTCTTGGTCCGAACCCTAACCATAGGTTCCTCGTGCGATTTGCTCCAGACTGCAGACGGTTAGGCGTCGGGATGCTTTCAGGAAATCGACGCGAATCATCCTGTGGCCGATTCCCTGCTGGTCATATTGGTGTGACTCTCGGAAATTCCTCCGTGCTTCAACCATCCTTCTTCTTCGTTGGGAGGCGCCTCGCCTTGGTTTGGCGTCTCCGGCAATAAGTCTCTCGAGAACTGAAACTCTTTTCGGGGACTGCTTAATGCAGGTTGCATCAGACAAATACCCGTCCGAATGAGTTTGAACAAGCATTGAGTTTCCTGGTTTTCGGGAAATCCTCTTTTCCTGTTTTCTATATTCGTAGCCCCCAGGCACGATAGTACAACTCGTCATTTTGACAGTCGGAGTAACCTATCGTGTGCGGCACGACTTCTCAAGGTATACACATCACTATCAGATGATAATGTTTCCATCTGAGGGTTGGATTGCCTCTTTTGGTTTTCAAAAGTTATCACGTCTCGAAACGTGCCTTTGTGGGGCGCGATCTCAGCGTGCTCTTGGACTTCGATGCGGGAAGTTGTGTGAGCGGCAGCTGCCTGAGTTCTTTGTTATACTGGAGTCGACGGCGACCCCGCAGCGTGTTGAGCGTTCTGGTGCTCTCATCCGGCCCAAACGGCTCATGAACTGGAGCTTTGCCTCTCTCGTCGGGATGTGGACCAGAGGCGCTCGCAAGACTTGGCTTTCTCCTTCGGAGGATTCTGGGCATGATCTCACCGGAGGTAGCTATGTGGAATTTCTCAGCGACCTTAGCCTTGGTCGCCGATTGAATTTAAGTTGGAGGCTGAGTTCGCTTTTTTGGGTCTGAAATACCGCTGCTTCAGACTTCGCCTCCAAACTTGCCGAGTTGTAGTGGCTTCTTGCGTACTCTTTCTGGCAGGCTTTCTAACGGGCTTCTTCGCACTTGAGCCCGTGCCACGCTGAATAGGCGCGGCGTTTGCGACTGCGCTCTCCAGTAGCGAGTTTCGTTTGATTCACCGGACCGCATTCGTTCGTTGGCGCTTGGAGGAGTCGCATTCATCGCCGTTGAGGCTATTTGCCTACTCCGTTCTTTAGATCCCGTCGTTGTACGGATTCCGTCGGTGGACTTCCATCGCTTTGGCGAATGTTTGCTAAGCGTTGCGTTGCTTTTGGCGGCTCTCTTGAGAGAGTCACCGCGTCCTTTGGTGACGGAGAATTGTGTTGGATACCAGCTTGATCTGGTGGAGGTTGTGGAGCCTCACCCGACGCACTTTGGCGTCAATCGGGTGAGGTCGTCGTTGTAGGCTTCAACTTCTTTCGTACCAACGCGCAGCCTTTTCTGGCGAAGAGAATCTTGGACTCTCTAGAATTGCGATGGGAGTAGATCGCGGAACGAGATGAAGGTAACTCCTCGAACTTTTGTTGGATCGAACTCATACTCGACCTCCTCCATCGATGCGGGATCGAGATCCGCGGCTGCGACGCAACGATCTCGCAGCGGAGATCGTTGGCTCCCCTGTGGTCGCCAGATTGTTCGCGGGAAATTCGTTGCTTTCTTCATTAATGATTCGCATCGATCACTCTGTAATAGCTATCGATTACAAAGATCCGGTCTTTTTATAAGATCGGCGGTTACACGAAAAATCAAAATGAAAAGAAATAAAAATACAACTTTGTTTCATTGTTTGTCGAACGAATCATGATGCTCCTGTTTGCGGCCGCTCGCTTTGTGGGTTCTTTGCCTGCGCGCGAGGTTGTTTGCCGTGGACACCGCGCGATCTAGATCCGGGTCGAGATCTTACGCAGTACAACGGTAATTATCACCAAGGAAACAATCGTCCAAATCTCGGGATCAAAGACCAAGCTTTGATCCGGAGTGTAGCAACGTAGATCTGAGATCCGATCCTCTCGAACACCTGCCTTATTTGACGTTGATGATCGCCGAGCACCAGATCTGGATGAGCAAGTCCTTGATGTCCTAAAGTTGAGATCTTTTTTAGATCTGAGTCTCCAATCCTGCAGGGCTTCGCCTCCTCCAAAATCCAACCACTCAAATGAACAACCCCTTGGCCTATTTATAGGCTCTCTGAACTGTGCCCGCGCACAGGAGATTGTCGGCCACCCATAGGTGGCCGGCACTGGGCCGAGCCACCTATGGGTGGCTCGGCTCCTGCCGAGCCCCCTTAGGTGTGGGTTTTCCGAGGTTTTGCGCTGTCTCGTTTGTCCGTGTTTCGGTTGACTTAAACTTTGATTTGTTGATCTGATTTGGCAGTGAGTCGGATTCCTGATTTGGCAGTAAATCCGCTTCTGAGTTCGAGTTCGAAACTGATCTTGATTCGATCGTGATTCGTCTGAGTCTGTTCTCGGTTGGATGACTCGTTGATTCTTTGACACTTGGCTTGATTCCGAACGCGTATGGATGCATTCCGTCGCTTGCGTGCGATTCGTCGATCTCGTCGCCTCGTTGGTTCGTCGGTTTATGCCGAACTGTGCTAAGGGACCTATAAGCAATTTTATATGCCTACAGTTACATTATTATCGTAATCGAAACAATGGAAAACTGTGGCAAAGATTGACAGGTAATTTTTAAAATCATGTCACGCAGATATATCAAACAGTAAACTGTAATACTCCAGAAATATTGGATTGCCATGACTCATTAAACAAGGAATATTTTGTTGTGAAGGGCCTAAAGTGGATCATCTGAAGTCTTTTCCATCAAGTAATAATGTGCAGTTATGTCGTAATGAAAAGCAAACTTCAGAAACTGCTTGTAGTAGCAAAATGAAAATAATCATTGGGCTACATGACTAAATGAGAATCAAAGTGCGATGTGCATACACAAAGAAATAGACATATAAACAGTATAGAATATATTGTACAAATAGCAACTTGGTAAAAATATCAGTGGAAACTAACCTCTTCGCAGAGCCCTTCTTTTACTAATGTCTCGTACCCTTTTTCCTTAGATCGCTGAATGTCAATCACACCAGTTACCTGCACAGAAAACATAATGCAATAATGGGAAGATCTCAATTATCAAGTGGCATTCACTATCCCTAGTGCCACATCAGAAAAAAAATAATATAAAAAAATGTATGCTATTTTGATTCCATAAGCCTGCAAGAGAACCTAGCAGGAAATTTGTGGTAGGAAAACTATTTCAGTGGCTACAAGTTAATTTCACAACCTAAGGGAAAATCCCTGATATTTTCCTAGCCAAAAATCATTGAGAAATGATGAGAAACCAAAAAGATCCAAACAAAATGCATTCCAAAATTAACCAACACGAAGGCTGAAGTTATTTCTATAAGCTATGGAGTGAATGAAAAACTTTAACTGCGAGTAGAAAATGCTAACCAAGTCAAAGACATAAACCAGCTCCATCGTAATACATGAGCTTGCCTGCAAATTTATTAACAATATAGAGTAAACAAATCTAGTTTTCAAGTAAAATAAGAAAACCATATGAACGTGTCCTCCAAGCACAGCTATGATATAAATCTCATACCTTTTCCACTAATCGTAAACTCAAATGTTCCAACCTTTCCTGAAGGTATTCTGAAATACCAACTTCAAAGATTTTGTTTATGTGCAACAGCGAACAAATACACTGCAAGGAAGAAGAAAATGAGAACTCACATAAAGTGAATGATGAGGCAACGAGAAATAATAAGTTAAATTGGCATGGCACGTTGTACAAGCAGGTGCCTCTGACATGGGACTCATGCATGCATGACATTATTAGCATTAGCATTTAGCAGATCTGTCAAACCCTTCCCTCCTTCCTCCTGCTAAATCATCAGAGGTATGGAAAGGCACTGCTTTAATGAATGAAAATTGAAAAGGTTGGGTGGTTAGTGATATGGGTGGTGAATGGATGTGTATCAGGTATACATTCATGCTAAGTAGTAGATGTAGAAAAGCGAGGGAGGGATAAGCATGAGGTCTAAGATTTAGGGGAAGGACTAAGGGTAGAAATTGGGAGAGTTTCCAAAATGAAAAAGATGAGATAATGACATTACAAACTGAAATGGAAAAGACCTCATCTATAGCAACAATCTTATGTACCAGATCCATATGTAATAAAAGTACCATACAGGCAGTAAAATAGAAACCTCTTTATTGACATGGGTGATCAATTGTGTAATGATGAACTTCAAAATACCATGTCAGAGGAAAAGATAAGTATACCTTCAAGAATGCATTCCAATCGCCACTCGTACACGAGGAACTTGGGGAATTGAATTTCTTCCATGAAGAATAGCGAATAAGCATTAATGTCCATACACAATAGAAAAAAAATCTGCGTGTCATATGAGCAGATAAAAGAACAGATGAACAACCTAGAAAAAAGTGAACTTACACCACCCACCCGCCCCCCACCCTCCACAAAAAAAGAAAAAGAAAAAAAAAGAAAAACATGCACATCATCATCATCATGCACATATAATTCACAAGTAAAGAATCAAATGATTTTAGTTTCAGAAATATATAATGAATCTCAACCAAAATCACACAATATGGATACCCAATATGGATACCCAAAATTATAGAACCAGAAAGGAACTCCTGATCTTGTATAACATTTTTCCAAGAGCCTGCAGCATAATTAAGATGAAAAGGTAAAGCGGATACCTTTAGCATATGAGGAACATCTCTAACGGACTTCAATGTTTGCCGTAAAGCAGACACCACTTCTTCGCAACAAAGGAAGAATGATATCTGACTTGCTTATAAGAAATAATAAAATTATTTTTATTTTTAAAGTGAGAATATCATGATAATGCAGCAATTCCTATAAGGATACTGTGTTGAGCCGATTGTTCAAAATGTCAAGGTCAAGTATTGGCCTCAAAAACCAAGTCCTAAGATGAAAAGGACCAAAATTGACTATGAAGTGTTAATTAATGTGCAGAGAACCTGAACTACAGCAGACATAATGGAGGCTCCTTGGCTGACCTCAAGAGACGCCTTCCCATTGGTGTGATGCACTGATAATACAACATATTAGTAAAGATGTTTTCGTTTTTAACTGGAAAAACAATGACCTAAAGTTACCTTGTTAAACATTCCGAAAACCGAGAATCTGCAGATTAACATTTAAGATAGTCAATAATGAAAGCTATTGATATACATGAAATGAATGGAAAAAGATACCCCTCTTTTGCTCTTCCAATTCCCATATGACTTGGATGCTTGTCAATTTGAAAAATCTGCAGAGCCTCATGAGCAGCTGCATCTAGTTTAAGGAACTTGTCCCTGTTGCTTGATGTAAGTTAAACAATTTATAACCTCCCATCGATGAAATCATTGAGTCAAAAGCATAAAAAATGCATGAATCTACATGCTACAATTTGAATAGGATAAAATGAGATCTGTGACACACAATCAATGGCGATAGATGAGTTGCCAGATTCCATTTGTTCATAGGTATCCACAAGCCTCTCATTCTCCAGTATGGCAAGAAGCCCCCCACCAGCACGAACTTGAACTTCACTTCCAAGATCAATCATAGAATTAAGCTGCAGAAGAGAGACATATGTGGTGTAGTGTCGTATAATAAGATTAGCTAACTTAGTAAGCATTGGAAAGAAAGCAATATTGAGTTTATCAAACTAATGGTAAAACCAGAAGTATATAAAACAGTGATAAAGTGATTCACTGTAAAGTCTGATCTGGAAAAAGAATTGCTAGGGAGAAATAAGATTTTATCAGTAAACAATTAACCACTGAACTCAAAATATTATTCAAGTTATAGTATTAAAGAGAATAAAAACGTTCTTGGCAACAACTTCACCCAAAACCTCTATTGAACAAGTTGTGGTTACAATTACTTGACACCATAGGAGTGAGGACAACCCATGCCCCACCCCTCCCTCCCCACACCCAAGAAAAAAAAGCAAAAATGAATGACGGATAAGAAATATATGTGCTTAAGTTGGTTTCTGAACCCAGGACCATTTTACTACTGATGCTGAGTCAATTTTCTTAACCGATTTGAAAAAGCTAAACTGATGAGTACTGGAACAATACTTATTCTATATTGTAACGTCTAACCATCAATCATTAAGTACTTACTTTGTATTCTTTCATGTATACAACTGGCAGTTAAATTAGCCACTCCCTCTAAAATGTTAAGCTCATTCCATTATAAGGCAAAAGCAATTGTATTAGGATGAACGATGACATGTCCAAAACAAAGTAGCAACAAGGAGATGTCATACTAGTATTTTCGTTTATATTTCAATCCCATAGCTGAAGCCGTCCACAACCAGATTGATATCCTCAAATAACCTTCTACGGACCTCAATTTTATGTTCTGTAACTTTGTGGATTCTGCCATATCTCTTAACAGAAGTTCTATATATATGCTGCAGCTTTACATACGGCACTCCCCTACTGATTAAAAGTCATCGCTGTGTGCTATGCATTTCAGTAAATCACATGTTTTCCTTACTATATTCCTCACTATGCTCTTCTAAAGCTTTGTATATACAGTATATAAACAACAGATCCAACAGATCCATATTCTCTGATTCCCCATATCCCTACAATCACTTCTTTTGTCCTTTTTAGTGGCCTTTCATTTCTAGTTTCTAAACTGTAATTAAAATGAAACTGGGTAGATAAGCTCTACAATCTTACCAATAATGCAATAGATTGCCACAAATGATATTCACTATAAAGTTTGTCCTTTGGTAGACAGAGAGGACATCAGTAACACAGTCTCCATTTACATTTAAAGTAACACAGTCTCCATTTACATTTAAAAATGAAAACTTCTGCCAATGAACATGATTTGTGCTTCTTTCTGACCCTCCATTCATTAACATGGTATTTAGTCAATATTGAGACTCAGATATGCTTGAGCATCTGCTGCAACTATATGATAGTAATAAGAATAGAAAATCACGTAGTGTAGGAATACTAGCAGAAATACAATCAAAATCATTATCGGTAAGTGCTTACAAAGAAAATCCTCTCCTTGACTGTTAATCCATCATCCATACCAGCAACCCTTAGATATATCAATCTACAGCATATAAGAGATAACATGTTGATTTTCCTGGAGGAAATAATTAATAGTCAAAGTAGAAATACTATATGAACAAAGTCAAACATGTGAACCATCCAGTAGGTGCACCTTTTTGGTATCTGCTTAAAATCACAGCTGACCTTTTTTTTTGGGCCTAAGAATGACTTCTGGCTAGACATTTTAGGCAAAAGGATATCTACATGTAAAGAGAGAGAATAATGCTTTCATTTGGTGGCAATACCAGCTGCACAGAGTGGTGAATATTGCTTCATGAGGAAGATGTTACATAGTGCGATGGCTTAGGACACACTCAGACAAGATCAATTAGCACACTCAAACAAGTTCTAACATGGATCATCCCACTGGTGTATCTGACATGTCAAGAGGCACACTTTAAGCATTTTGGTTAAGCGGTTCGATATCTTCATGAGGTCGACCCATCCTTTTGTGAGATGTGTTTTCTTCGGCTTACATGTCTTGAATCTGAATACAATTGGAAACCATGCAATACCTGTAACCGAAAGATGATCTATACATGCATAGAGTAGTAGAAATTAAATATGAAACAATAAAAAAAGGAAGAAATTGTTAGCCGAAAGCTCTGCCTACCCCTTTTTGACAAAGGAGTTCACTTTTTGACAAAATCAAAAAGTGGTGGCCGATTTCTTTGAAATGAGAAAAAGGATGTGGGTCCCATAATTATTTATTATTAGTGGCGGGTCCCACTAATAATATTTTATTTGTGCATAGTATTTCCCAAACACTATAAATAGGGCCCTAAACTCTTAAAGAAAACTCATCCCAGAAACAACTCCTCTTATAGAAGAGTAAGAGAAAACAAAGAGAGAGTTTGTGAGAGTTCTTGGAGTGTATCTGATCAAGAGAGGGTGTTCTCTTGGATCAATTCTTTTGGGATATAAAAGAATTTTGCGTCGTCGTTGCACCGTGGAGTAGCTCCGAAGGAGTGAACCACGTATATCTGTGAGTACTCTGTGTTGAATTTTGTGCCTTTATTTTGTGATTAAGTCTCCGTTCGAGGCGTTATTATTGGGGTGAATCCTAACAAAATGTACCTCAAATAGGAACGTATGCTCTGTGGCTGCCACTAAAAGTGGATCCTCCACATCAGAAAATAAGTTAGATTAATATTTACTCTTTTAAGGCATTGGACACTATTCACGTGTACGGCACTATTCACTTGTACGGTACTATTCACGTGCACAGCACTATTCACTGATACGGTACTATTCACGGATACGGTACTATTCACGAATACTGTACTTTTCACGAATACTGTACTATTCACGAATACGAGAAAGACGTAATCTTTCGCCATGGGATCTACAGTTGAAGACAACAGGCTTCGAATTGAGAAGTTCGACGGCCAAAATTTTAGGTATTGGAGGATGCAAATAGAAGACTATTTGTACCAGAAGGATCTCTTCCTACCCCTCCAAGGAGAGGCGGGGAAACCTGAGAAGATGGACGACGATAAGTGGAAGATGCTCGATCGTAAAGTACTTGTCACCATCAGGCTCAACCTTCACCAGCATGTGATTTACAACGTCTCGCATGCGACCACCACCAAGGAGTTGATGGAGGCCTTGGAGGCGCTGTATGAGAAGCCGTCTGCATCAAATAAGGTGTACCTGATGAAGAAGCTATTCAATCTCAAGATGCAGCAAGGAGCTCGCGTGGCGGACTTCTTGAACGAATTTCAGGCTGTGGTGCAACAGCTTGCTGCAGTAGATCTAAAGTTCGACAACGAGATCCAAGCTCTTCTGCTACTTTCTTGTCTACCAGATTCATGGGAGAATATGGTAATGACGGTGAGCAACGCTAATGGCAATGACAAGATGAAGCTCGACACAGTGGTTGGGGCAATTTTGGATGAAGAATCTCGCCGTAAAGTCTCAGGAGCTGAGGCCTCTAGCTGTGGGAGTGCTTTGCATGTCGAGGCACGAGGGTGTGCACAGAAGAAGGGTAGGGGACGACGAGGCCAATCAAAATCCAGAGGGAAGTCTAAATGGCCTAACCCGAATGGTTACGGTGAAGGGAAATGCTTCAGATGTGGAAAGAAGGGCCACTTTGCACGGGACTGCAGAGTTACTGTTCAAGCATCAGCAGGGGATGATCGGGCTGACGGTGCAGCCAATCTCATGCACGAGACGGATTCGGATGCACTTCTCCTATCCCTAGAAGACAAAAGTGATGCGTGGGTCATCGACTCTGGCGCATCTTTTCATGCAACCTCACAACAAAAGCTGCTTTCATCGTTCGTGAAGAAGGACTTGGGGACAGTCTATCTTGGCGACGATCAACCTTGTAAGGTTTCCGGGAAGGGAAATTGTACCCTCAAGATGGAGGGCGGGACCACCTTGACGCTGAATGATGTTCGGCATGTACCAGATCTCAGGCGAAATCTTATATCAGTCGGGCAACTGACTGACTCCGGTTACAGAGTATCCTTCGAGCAGAGAAGCTGGAAGGTGTCCAAGGGTGCCTTGGTGGTGGCACACGGCAAACGCGATGGGTCTCTCTACATCGCCAACGGGAAGATCGACCACTTGCTTGCCGCAGGACAAGCATCATCATCATCATCCGTCGACTGCATGACTTGGCATCGACGACTTGGCCACATGAGCGAGAAGGGGATGCAGATTATGGCCGCGGGAGAGAGGCTTCCGGGTCTGAACAAGATCGATCTGACTTTCTGTGAGGACTGCATCCTAGGCAAACAAAAGAAGGTGAGCTTCAACAAGACCGGACCGGCTCCAAAACTGCAGAAATTGGAGTTGGTGCACACCACTAATAATATTTTATTTGTGCATAGTATTTCCCAAACACTATAAATAGGACCCTAAACTCTTAAGGAAAACTATCCCAGAAACAACTCCTCTTATAGAAGAATAAGAGAAAACAAAGAGAGAGTTTGTGAGAGTTCTTGGAGTGTATCTGATCAAGAGAGGGTGTTCTCTTGGATCAATTTTTTTGGGATATAAAAGAATTTTGCGTCGTCGTTGTACCGTGGAGTAGCTCCGAAGGAGTGAACCACGTATATCTGTGAGTACTCTGTGTTGAATTTTGTGCCTTTATTTTGTGCTTAAGTCTCCGTTCGAGGCTTTATTATTGGGGTGAATCCTATCAGAAATGATGCAGTGCAATCAGCAACAGAAGTTAATTATATACATGAATTCATGGTGACCAAAATTAACATAACCTTAACAATTAAAACATCTTTAGGTTGCATGAACGTGCATGTTTAACTCTAACAAGCAGTCAAATAGTTATAAGAAAAAATAAATTAAATGAAAGCAATTAACTGATAATTACAATAACCTTCATACTTTTATTGCCTTATGGCCAAGTTCATCATAGACAATCTAAAAAGAAAGCACTAAGCAAGCTGTTACATATTATTCCGTCAAACTTCAGACTTCATACCTGTGCCATGCCTGTTCATAGCTGAATATGGAACTTCGTATAAGCTTTACCACAGTGGTATCATCTCCATCTGCAGAAGTTTGCAAGTCAGTAAAGAAAACTAAATTCTTTGTTTGGCATAGGATTTGAGCAACGAACCACTTCGTTGTAATGCAGCCAAAAATGATTCTTCAGTCTTGGTGCTAGCATATATGACCAAAGGCTTTGCCTGATATTTCACTGATTCATCGACCAAAAAGAAGAGTCAGCAATGGTTTTTCATTCACTGCTATCCGACAAGAAACAGCCTCCTTGCCCATAAAAAATGCATGAAAAAGAGGTAAAACTCTTAAAAATAATATACCGAGATCAATAAGGGGGAAATCTCCTTGCCCATCCTCCCAAATATCCAAGACATACAGTTGCCGGATAGTAGCATCGTAATATGCCACTCCAATTCTGAAACAAAAAAAAAAGGTTCAGTTTAACAAAATTTGAAACACTTTTAAACCATAAAAAAAAATGCAAGCCTATCATAGTTACCTATGACCTTGCATGACACAGGCCATATACACCTGCGGTAAAATCAACACTGAAACTATTTAAAATGAATAAAATAGGGATAAAATCATAAAATCACCAGCATCTACTATGATTATAGCTTCATCGTAGATTACTTTTCAAAAAGCAAAAGCAAAACTGGATCTAGGGGCATCAGATTCGTTGTTCATTCCGATTGGGAACTAATCAGTTCAAGTAGAAGATCTAGGGTTTCTAACGGGCTCTACCGTTTAAAATCAATATTTCGCTAAATTATAGCTAGCAAAAAAAAAATTGATGATGGGAAGGGTACGAGAACGAGATCGAAGCAGAGAAGGGAGAGAGCGAATGCGATCGAGATCACCTGAGACTCGACCTCGGTTTCAGCGACTTCTTCCTCCATTTCTTCTGCTACGGAGCTCCGTGAGAGAGAGAGAGAGAGAGCGGGAATGGGGAATTTGGAGCGTGTGGGTTTCTTTTGTAGACGCCTCTGTTGCACGTGCGAGGTGCAACAGGGCTTTTAAATGTGGACAAATTTTAAAAACCAATCCATTTCCAAACTTATTCATCAAAAACAACATATTTGAAACTTATTTGTCGTTTTCGGTGAAAAAAATACCAACCTTCACGGGACTTCAAGTCCCGTGAAGTTGTTTACATAACAAAACGTCACACATTAAAATAGACGTTTCTTAAATAGTTCGTAAGATGACCACATTAAAATAGTTTGATTCTTTTTTTTTACAAAAAACTTTGTTCATCATAAATTTGAATAGATGATTGGACCGACTCACAATCGTATTTGAGTCGATATAAACTAAAACTACTTTAATGTGCTGATGCGGTGGAGTTGCTCAGGAGGGTACAGAAATTCATGTATAAGAATGTGGCGACAGCAGGGTCCACTGAGTACGTGTTTCGTAGGTTGGGTTTTGCAATTCAGAAATGATTAGCAGCGTAGTTTGTTGCCCGCTTATCATCATCACATGTGTAATATTTATTTCCTAGTTAAATTTTCTATTTTATAAAAAAAAAACTAAAATTAAAATTCATCTTCAAGAAATTTAGAAAAAGGGCCCAGTATACGGCGGCCCAACAAATATGAAGAATAAAATCCCTCCCTCGCTATCCACACAGCAACAAAAATCCCCCGTTATCCACTCCCCAGTTCTCCGCTCCCCGCTCGCAGGACCGTCCACCCTGCCTAAAAAATGACAAGCGCCTATCCGTGCACGCCCCAGGGGCTAACCGAAATGTTACAAAAAATCCTCACCCGCCAAAAAAAAAAAAAAAAGGGACGCAAACACTGCAAAACTTGCTCCCTCCTCTCCCGGCCGCCTGCAGCTCTTTTCCCTCCCCCACCCCCACTCAATCCCTTTAAAAATTACACTTCACCCCAAACCCGCCGCGCCGCCGCCTCTCCCTAATTTCCGCCGCGCGCTCAGCTGCTTCCCTCAGTTCTTGAGAGCGTCCAATCCGTCGCCTCTCTGCGCCCTCCGTCCTCGCCGGCACTCATCATCGTCCACGAGACCGGCCCCAACTTCGCGCGCCGCCGCCCTCACAGGGCCATTCCACGTCAGCCAGAGTTCTCGATCGGGTTCGGACCCATCCTCGTAGCGCCGCCTTTCGTTTCGACCTCCGGTCGTCGAAGTTCTCGCCTCCGCCGGCTTTCCCCTCGGCGGCTTCGTCGCCTCCACGACCAGGACACCCGACTTCAGCTTCCCCGCGGCCGACGACCCCGGACCTCCTTACAAGAACCGCGCCCATCCCTGACCGAACTCCTCGTCATCTCCGCCGGCGTCGCCGCACAACCTCGCCTTCGCCTACCTCATGCGTCCTACACCAAGTCCTCACCTTGGCCTCCTCGCCGTCAAGAATCCGCTCGACCGGGGCGTCGCTGCGTCCGCCGCCGTCCGCCCGTTCGAGTCGCCGCCGCCCGCGACGGCATCCTCCCGCGGGGATGTGATATCTATATCCAACTCCCCAGTTCTCCCTCCCCGCTCGCAGAACCGTCCACCCTGCCTAAAAATGACAAGCCCGCCATATCCGCTCTGTCCGCCCCCAGGGCTAACCGAAATGTTACAAAAAATCTCAGCCGCAAAAAAAAAAAAAGGAGGACGCAAACATGCAAACTTCGCTCCCTCCTCTCCCGCCGCTCTGCAGCTCTTTTCGCCTCCCCCACCCCCACTGCAATCCCTAAATTACACTTCCACCCCAAACCCCCGGCCGCCGTCCCTCTCCCTAATTTCCTCCACGCGCTCAGCTGCTTCCCCTTTCAGCTTGGAGAGCGTCCAATCCGTTCGGCCTCTTCGCCCCTCCGTCCTCGCCGGCAATCATCATCGTCCACGAGACCCGGCCCACTTCGCCGCCGCCGCCCTCACAGGGCCATCCACGTCAGCCAGACGTTCTCGATCGGGTTTCGGACGCCATCCTCGCGCCGCCTTCGTTTCGCACCTCCGGCTGTCGAAGTTCTCGCCTCCGCCGGGCTTTCCCCCTCGGCGGCCTTCGTCGCCTCCGCACGTTACCAGGACCCGACTTTCAGCTTTCCCCGCGCGACGACCCCGACCTCCTTCAAAGAACCGCGCCCATCCCTGACGGAACTCCTCGTCATCGTCCGCCGGCCGTCGCCGCCAACCTCGCCCTTCGCCTACCTCATTGGCGTCCTCAACCCAAGTCCTCACCTTTGCCTCTCACCGTCCCAAAATCCGCTCGACGGGCGGTCTGCGTCCCCCGCCGTCCGCCCGCGAGTCGCCGCCGCCCGCGACGGCATCCTCCCGCGGGGATGTGATTCTCGCCGCGAATGACGCCCCGGCGCCGAGCGTTCCGACCTCGTCGACGTTATTAAGCTTAGCCCTGGAAAGCAGTAGCTCTACGAGTGTCGAGAAAGGGAATTGGCTAATGAAGTAGAAGTCAATGTTGTGCCCGATGAGAGCTCGGATGGAAGTGGGAGGATTGGGTTCAGTTGTCGCCGAATTATAAGCTTTCCAGAGCTCGGCCGGAAGAACTTGGGCGAAGTGATTAGTTTTTGCTGGCAGGGAGTTTGTGGGTGGCTGGGACTGTTCTTGATGGTTTGAAACAGACTTTCTGAACTTTTCTCAGTCGGCGAGCAAAGTATCGGGTCCGGTGGCGATCATTGCGCGGTGGGGCGGAGGTGGCGAGGCTCGAGCTCGGATGGGTTGTTTCAGTTTGCCGGCGGTGATTAATTTGAATTTGGCGGTGATTAATCTGCTGCCCGTTGCCGAGCAGTTGGATGGTGGGTGCGCTGGCCTTTGCTGCTCGTGGAGCGGTGAGGGGAGGGAGGAAGATACCGAGGGAGGTGGAGCAGAGGATAATGTCGTCGGGGATATTGGTGGTGTTGACTTTGGGGGTGTTTTTGATTGTGAGGGATACTTTGAATCTTGATTTCATCAAGGAGATGTTGTGATGGAGGAGGAGGAGAAAGGTAGATCTTTTGGGAGTAGAGATTAACAGGATAAGCTCTTGATTAAGGTGGGTATTGGGTAAAGCATCTCTTGTTTTTTTTTCCCTCCTTAAAATGTCTTGTATATTTAGCATACTTGTTTGGAATTGGATGATTTTACACACTTGATGAAAAAAGAAGTTAATTATTTGTTATACATTCGTAGAATTGTATGTTCATACAGTAGTTATTTCTGAGATGCCGGTATGTTGATACAAAATGTTGATGGTTTCAATGTATTGGACTTGAGTTCTATAAAAGATTTCTCTTCACGATGCTAGGTTAATCATTTGAGTTAGTTAATAAAAATGGAAGAGGGGAGAATGGACATGAAATATCCAAAGTGCTTTGGGGAATTTTTTTTTTATGTTTGCTAGGATTGGTAATGTGTTTCAAGTTCTTTAGACTATCTGTTAATATTGTTGACAGGAATATTCTGTATTTGGCGATTGTTATTCAATTGTTAGTTATAATGAATGTAAGAATAAGACATGTATCAGTAATTGTAATATGTATTGAGTTTTAACAACATCAATGAAACTGAGGTGTGTAACGGATTGATCCGGTTCAATAATTCTATTATAGAAACCCCAAGTTATAGATGAAACCAATATAATTTGAGATGAAGAGATTAGTCCCCTATTGAATTTTGAATTAATTGTTCTAGGGACAAACTAATCCAACCAATCCCTAAATTGCGTTATAACTGTTATGTGATTGGATTTCTATTGTACATCTAGAAAAATAGAAGATTTTTAACTTGTGATGTTTGAGTTGTTTTTGAAAGTTTTGACCTGATGATCTTCTGATTACATGGAAAACTCGAAAGCTTTCTTGTTATTGGTTGTTTGTATAATACCCCTATATTAATTTTTGGTACTTTAGAGCAGTGTTATCCAGATATAGAACATGGATGTTAAGCGTCCAGATGTCCTTGGGTGTCTGATATTGTAAAGTAGGATAGGGGCACAGATAAAACATGAACACATACATGCTCACACATGCAAACATGCACATACATGCATATAGCCGTACACTACAAATGTATATCTTGGCTGCATATTTTCTGCACCATAGCTACAAATACAGAGCTGGATTAGACGACTCATAGAATAAGCGTAACATATTACTCCTTTTAACACTTTCTTTCCTCATTGATAATTGTATATAAGGTATGTCCTTGATATTGTACATTTTTTTCGATTCCACGACATCTATTTCCTCCCTTTCACCACAGCCCACCCGAACAAAATTGTGCACATGCCATATCACATATGTGAGTTGTTGCGCATAAATTTCCTCATAAGTTCCTATTTTTGGCACAACTTAATTTTAGAAAAATAAACTGCTTTAGTACCACTGCTTCTAAACTGATATTTTAGCTTGTATCCGTTAGTTTTGACTGGTTATACTGATACTAACAAAAATGTTAGTGTCAGCCAATATAGCTTTTCAGTTGAAAATGATTTTCTAAGGCCCTATTTTTGGCATCTGAGGGATTTTTCAAACTTCATCTTGAGATTCTCTAGCCATAGTTCCCGACTTATCAAGATCTGAAAATTTCCTGATTTTGCAGCAGATTGTTCGTTAATAAGGTACTTGCATGAAGTTCATCTTTTAAATTCATTCTCTCTAAAAATGGCTAATATCATTGTTTTAAAAAGCGGTTTGGGCATTCGCCTAGGTGGCCGCTTAAACCTAAGCGGTACCTAGGCCACCTGTCTAAGTCTTGGGAGCGCCTAGGGAGAAGAGGCGCTTACGCAAACTATATGGTGTTAGACAGAGGTATATTACTCGCTTAAGCATAGTAATGGTTAAAGAGAGTTAGCTAGGTTAAAATGTACCGGAGATCAAAACTCTATGTCCAAGTCTAACTCACAAAAAACAGTGAGGAGTTGATTTGAATCTTCGAAAATGATCCTTCATCTCTCAATGTTAAAAACATCTATGTGCCGCTTAAGCGTCCACCTAGGCATTTGGCGCTAGGTCTGGCGCCTAGAAACGCCTTGCTCTTTCTAAAACATTGGCTAATATAGCATGATACTTGTGGATGTAGATCTTTCATTTGTCTGCATATATTGTAGTAAACATCGGTAGGTTATTGATCATCATGGAGTTGATATTTCCATCAATTGCCACCGGGCTTTTATGCTTTACATATCCACGTAAAACTGTAGTTGACATGTATTTTTAAGCATATTGGCTTCATGTTCTCTGGACTTTGCATCCCGACATAGAATTACCATCTGGATGCCAGCACAAAAGAAAAGGAATTAGCTACAGACATGATACATTTCCATCATTTGTTGTTTTTTTATCCTACTCCATTTACATTTCTGCAACAAGATCCTACACATTCTGAACAACAATCGTTACAGTTTCCAGGAAATTTTCATCCACAAGGAATAGCATGATTCTCAACTTTCCATCTGTCCATGCATAGTATTGAACTCTTTGTTGATCACCTACAATCCTACATACAATCCTAAAGGGCAACTTGTTTTTGCTCATAAAAATTACCTGGAAACCATAAGAAATTATGTTCATAATGTGTTCACACATTCAATTTTAAATGCTACTCTTGATTGCCATTTAGAATGATACTAGGATGACTGCTTACTTGCTATCGACAATAAATGTGAAATTGTGATTTATTTGTTGGGATTAACTCAAATGAATTCCTGCTTTGTACATTACTACTTCTTTAGTCGTATCAGATGTTGTGAATTTTATTATACTGCTATATTTTTTATTATACTGCTATATTAATATTACTGTTATTCCTAATATGGAATGTTTTTGAAGATGCAAAGCATTTTATTTCACATGAATATTATCATGAATGTTGAACAAGCATTTGATATGATCTCTAGTTGTAATGTTTTGATGTGTGTGCTACGAGAACTAACATATTACTAGAAAAATTAATCAACCTGAGGCATACTTTCTCTTTAGTGTGTACATTATGTCCTGTGCGGTTCAAATGGGAAGGCAGCGATACTCTGCAGACCCATATGTTGAAACTGATGATAGTTGTACATAATAACTTAGCAAAGAATGATGTAAATTGAAGGGTAAATTTCACAAAACCCCACCTTAACTATTGTTCGTTTTTAAGATAACCCTCTTTAACTATTTTAATTCCACAAAACCCCCCTTTAACATTGAGGGGTTTTGCACATAACTCCACATGTACTTCTTTTATTCCCTTATAAACATCTTGAAAATTTTTCACTTTAACCTTCCGAAGTAAAGCTCACAAGTCTAACGTGTGTCATGTGCCAAGCACATTACCAGGAAAACACAAAAGTACTTCTCAGCCATAAAAAAGCCAATACATGGGAAGTAGTGAAACAACTAGGAAGTGGTCTGTGCCTGCAGTAAGTTATATTGGAAGAAAGGAAGGGTTGTTATATGGGTGAGTTTGAGTAATAAATGGGTGAGTTTGAGTAATAAATGGGTGAGCTATAAATGGGTGAGCATGTTTTGCCCATTTATGCATTTATGGCTTATTTTATATTTTCTAAATGAGCGGGTTTTTAGTTTAATAAACGGGCCACCCATTTACCCATTTAGCTATAATAGTTATGTAAATAACACTTTTTTTTTATTAATTTTTTTTCTTTGGGGGGGGGGGGTGTAGCGTGTGGTTTGTAAACTTTTAGAGGGGGTTTTGTAAGCTTTTAGGGATTTTTACAAACTTTTAGGAGTTGTTTGCAAACTTTTGGGGGTTTTTTGCAAACTTTTTAGGAGTTTTTTACAATCTTTTGAGGGTTTTTTGCAAACTTTCTAGGAGTTTTTACAATCTTTTGAGGTTTTTTTGCAAACTTTCTAGGGGCTTTTTGCACAAATAGAATTATTAGAGAATTAGAAACTAAAAATAGAATTCTTATTCAACAAAGGAGTCGCAAGAATTCCATTGGCAAACATACAGACGTCACAATACATAATATATTGGGCCCAGTGTTACATATATATATACTTAAGGAACAAAAATGTAATTCTTCCTACATTGTTTAATCCAAACTACAAGAACTAAAACCAACAATAGCCGCTTACGACCTAGTGTTGGGTTTGTGATAAAATACTAACAAATACAACAATATATCACATAAAAACACGACACTAAATCACAATGACATGAAGTTTGCATTACCATTGCTTGATTTAAGTTCATAAACTGCTTCAACCAACATTGCTTCTGAATACAAAAGATGCTATCATAGTACTAACAAATTGATATACGTTGGCAAGTCATAAAATCTAAAACAAGTTGAACTTATAAAAATATGTATATACACATATCTATATATTCTTTTCCAACTTCAGGGGCTAGTATCTACTGAGCATCAGAAAGCAACCATCTCAAGTCGTTGGCTCCATCACTGATAGCAGAATCTTGACTAAGCGGAGCATATCTCTTCCGCATAAGCATTTCGACTGCAAAATCCTCTCTTTTCCGGCCTCCCCTTGGTTGTGATCGCCATTGCTCATCAGCTTCCAGCAAGTCACCCTGCACAAAAAGATAATCAACTTAACCAAATTCGTTCTAGGAGTTTAACCCGCAGGAAACTACTAGCATTGCGCATAATCTCAGTAACTAGAAACTTAAACAAATTACCTTAGACATGTATAAAGTTTGCACTACTTTCAAGTTCAATGTTCATGCTAATTAGGACACAAGCCAAATATTTTCATGCGCAAGATTGAGTAGCACACAAGGGAATGTAATGCTTGAGCAGATGCTCAAGAAAATTTTAAACCCAATCACAATATTATGCTAGAGTAGCACACTGCTCAAGAAGTTAGCCCCTATTTTATTTCTTAAGCCACACCCTTCGGGCCTTCACCCAACACAATCACTGAGCAACTCAGCTAACTGAGATGAGGATTGAGACATATCCTAGAAAAAATGAGGCACATTGATACCACCAGAAAACAATCCTTACCAGAGAGACAGAAGAGCATGCATGATATATAATAGTTCTCAACTGAATTTGAACTTGAGCTCCTACATAAACAAGAGACTAATGATCAAGATTCAAATGATACAAGCTCATTCTTTTCAAATGGTAGCAGCCTAGTGTTCAACATCTAGCACCAAGTAGACAATTCCAAAAGGCCTCAAGAAGCCAACATCAACAAGAGGTGAAATCTCGATTTATACTTAAATGTGCACCTTGCATAGAACCCTTTAAAAAACCAACATCAACACAAGTCTTTAGTGTCCTATAAATTTGAAATTAAGCAATCATGATAAGCATGGGAACCATTCAAAATTTTGATGCAGGGACATGATTATATCACTAGACACTGTACAAATAGGTTTATATCTAGTCCATTGCTGATTAAATTAATTGGTAAGTTTCATTTGGCATGATTGAGACTTAGCATCTTCTATGAAGTATTGACATCGAAATGGAATGGCAACGTTACCATGATGATACTTGACCGCGAAAGAAACAAACTTTAGGGCTTTGAGTTCAAGAGAAGGGGATATACTTGATTGCGAGAAGTTGCATCACAAAGAGGGAATGATAACTTGACGACAACTACTGGATGTCGAGTAACTGGAGGAGCTGCAATATATAGTAGACAGAATGCTCCATTGGAGGTTCCCAGTCGCCACATTGGAGTACAACACTTGGCTTGGTTGAGGCAGGCCATCAGTGACCCTATAAGGTGCGTGACCTCGTCGGTAAAGCCTCTCGACAAGCCAAATGCACCAAACGAACGAACGACGCAATGATCTTCAACACCTGGCTTCATGAAGAAACCAAACATATTAAACAAGAACCTCTTCAAGGTTACAATCTCCTCGGCAGGCTTGGGTTCAGCATACCTAGGGCAGAAAGACGCGCATAGACCAGATTTGAACTTCCAACCCCTCGGATTTCTTGCTCGGTCTTCTTCAAGAATTATTACGGACTCTCAGCAACCGGACCTAGGACTGCAGCTTTGAAAACAAATGCAGTGCTGAAATTTTTTGATCCTTCATCAAGCCGCATGCTGCCCTCTGAGAGCTTGATGACATGATTTCATTATGCGGAGAGGCCGTCACGCTTCAATGATTTCAGCGTAGATCTAGATCAAGCAAAGATGATGTTGACAAACAGTTTGGTGGGTGATTTTGGTTCAGGTTCCTTTGTAGCTGTATATAGCTTTGTAGATTTATGCAACTTACAGTGAAATGTAAATTTGTGGTACTATTGACAAGTGTATCCAGCTCTTGATTTTGTCATGCACACACAATTTGATGAATGTACGAGGAAATAGTGTACATATTCCTATAGTTTAGCTTTTCTTCATTCTCTCTCTCCAAAAAAAAAGAACTATTTTTGTTCCTTTTTTTTCCTAATGTGGATTCGATGTGCATGCAAATAAATACCTTTACTATCCCTACAAATTGTTCTCTATTGAGAAAATATGGATCATGAAGTTAGAAAACTGATCACTTCTATGGATTTAGAAGCAAGGGTGTGTTTCTACCTCAAATTACAATTTTGATTTAAATAGAATTATAAGACCATGAATGTATATGCTAACAAAAGGTTTGAACTAATATCTTTTTAAACAATTTTATGATTTTCTTTTTCTTCCTTCTGATCAATTTAGATTTTGGCATTCAACCTTCTTCAGATTAAGCCTAATGTGTTCAATTACACACACACACACACACACATGAATTAAATAATCTTAATTATTACCAAGGCAATAGTTTCCAAAAACAATCCTTGCATAAAACATATAAACATCACTCAACACAATTGATTGATATTTCATCATCAAAGTTTCATAGTGTGAAAAAAAATTGCCTAATTATATGAAATGCAATTTCTCTACTCGATATATTGTGAGTAACAAACATTCCTAGTTATGCTAAAAAAAATTCAGGGTTAAAAAATTGAAAATTTTGTAATCTAATCTTACAAATATGAAAAGAACATAACATCACCTAAGGATCAAAGTCATTTGACTATGAGAAATTAGAACGTGATATTGGCACGGCTCAATCAAATAAACAGAGTTCAATCTTTGTGAACACTATTTTCTAATTGAACCGCACCAATATCCCGTTCTTACCGATTCCGTGGTACTCTCCTTCTTCATCCTATTACTTTGTGTAAATTTACTTCTCTATAAATTTTTTGCAAAGATTGAGAAAATAGAGATATATAAAGGGGAAAAAAGAAAAAAAAGAGAAAAAAAATAATAATACCAACTTCTTTATGTACAAGTAGTCGAACATGTTGGAAGGAAACAAAGAAGGAGAAAAAAGAGAGAGAGGAAAATACATAGGAAGCAGTTGAAGCTGTGAAGGGGTGTTTGATTCATAAATAGAAAAATGAAAAGGTTAGGAAGAGGAATGCAATTAATTTGCCAACAACCAAAAAACAAGGAGGGAGTTGGAATAGTTATTATTGGAAAAAGGAGAAGTAATATTGTGCCGAGAGAAGAGGGGGTTTAAATGAGGGGGGGATGTTGGGCTTCTGTTCTGCCTTCAATTTCCTCTCTTTTTTCACGTGAAATTAGTAATTGCGATATTGACTATTTCTTTGTACACAATGTTTTTTTTTTTATTGGTCACTCGTAAAATATTTTCCAATACATTAGAACTCGGAAGTTATACTAATTTGAATTATTACTCTAGAATGCCACTTAAAGAATCTTTCATGGCTTATTTTCACTTTGATACCCTCAGATATTTTTTTTTCTTCGCACTTTGATATCTAAAGCATTTCTTTAACACTTTGATATGCCATAGTTTCAATCATATTTGGTACCCCGTCTAGATTTGATTATATGTTCTGTTAAATTTATACCATATCCTTAGTACAAGATTTTATCTCCTTTAAACTATATGTCAAAGATTAGAATAACTAAAAATGGCCAAACTCGTGGGTTATATAGGGCACGAAATTGTAAACTTTGGCCGTAGTGAAATTATTTGGCAACAGGTCAAAATGACGAAAAAGGCCAAAAAGCGTAGTTTATAGCTCACCAAATCATAGTTTTTGGCCTCCATGAAACTAATTGTCAAACATTAGAAATAACTAAAAATGACCAAAATTGTGGGTTATGGGTCACAAAATTTAAATTTTGGCATTAGTGAAATTATTTGGCAACGAATTGAAATAACACAAAAAACGCTAAAAAGCATAGTTCATAGCTCATGAAATTATGAATTTAGAACTCCACAAAATTATTTAGATCGAAACGAATAAATATGACCAAAAATTTTGGGTTATGGCTCACGAAATCGTGATTTTTGCCTAACGCGAAATTATTTGCCAAAGGATTGAAGCAAGTAAAAATGGCCAAAAATGATGGGTTAAAGATCACACATTTGTGAATTTTGAACTCTGCGAAATTATTTACCAACAGGTCGAAATGAGTAAAAATGGCAACAATTGTAGGTTACAACTCATAAAATCTAGATTTTTTTGGCCTACATGAAATTATTTGCCAAAAAATTGAAACAACTAACTATAGCAAAAAAATGTGGGTTGTAGCTCACAAAATCGTGATTTTTTTCCTTTGCAAAATTATTTGCCAAAGAATTAAATAAATAAAAATGGCCAAAAATCATAAGTTATAGGTCATGAAATTATAAATTTTAGTCTCCACAAAATTACTTGCCAATGGGTTGAAATGAACAAAAATGGCCAAAAATTATTGGTTACAGCTCACGAATCATAAATTTTGGCCTCTATGAAGTCATTTGTCGGCGGGTCAAAATGACTAAAAATAGTAAAAAAAATTATAGATTATAGCTCAAGAAATGTAAAATTTGGCCTACACGAAATTATTTGCTAACATGTCAAATTGACTAAAAATAGACATAAATCGTGGGTCCATTAAATTATTTGCCAAAGAATTAAAACAACTAAAAATAGCCATAAATCATTATTCGCATAATGATGAATTTTGGCCTCTGCGAAATTATTGGCCAATGTGTTGACAAAAAATGGCCAAAAATCATAGGTTGTAGGTGATGAAATCTTGAATTTTGGCTCTTGCAAATTATTTGCTAAAGGTCAAAATGGGTAAGATTTGCTAAAAGTCATGTGTTATAGCTCATCAAATCATGAGTTTTAGTCTTCTCGGAACTATTTGCTAACGAGTAGAATGACTGAAAATTGCCAAAATTTGTGGATAACAGCTTATAAAATCATTAATTTTGGGCTCTGTAAAATTATTTGTCAATAGGTCTAAACCATTAAAAATGGATAAAAATTATGGGTTATAGCTGATTAAATATGATTTTTTGCCCTACAAAATTATTTACCAAGAGGCTGAAATGAATAAAAATGGCCAAAATTATGAATTCTAACTAATAGGATCTTAATTTTTGGCCTATGAGAAACTATTATCCAACAGGTCAAAATGACTTAAAATGGACATTAATCATGGATTATAGCTAACAAAATAGTAAATCTTGGCGTCCAGAAAATTATTTACCAATGGGTCAAAAGGACTAAAAATGCCAAAAAATTAGATTATAACTCATGAAATTATGAATATTATCCTCCATGAAATTGTTTGCAAATAGGTCGAAACAACTATAAATGGTCAAAAATAGCAAGTTATACCTCACAAAATTGTAAATTTTGGCCTTCATAAAATTATTTGCCAACAAGTCAAAATGAATAAAAAATAGCAAAAAATCGTGAATATGCTCACGAAATTATGAATTTTAGCATCCATGAGTTATTTGTAAATGAGTCAAAATAACTAAAAATAGCCAAAAATCATGGGTTATAGCTCATGAAACCAAGGCTTTTAGCCTCTGCGAAATGTTTTGCTGACTAGTCAAAACAAAAAAAAGGCCAAACTTAATAGTGTATAGCTCATGAAGTCATGAATTTTGGCATCTATGAAATTATTTGTCAACGCATTCAAACAACTACATATGGCCAAAATTAGTGGGTTATAGCTCATAAAATCATAAATTTTGACCACATTAAAAATTATTTGCTAAAGAATTTAAGCAATTGAAAATGCTAAAAATCATAGGATATAGGTCATGAAAGTGTAAATTTTTTAGCTCCATAAATTATTTATCAACGGGTCAAAATGAATAAAAACAACCACAAATTATGGGTTATAGCTCAAGACATTAAAATTTTTGGCATCTGTAAAATTATTTGTCAACGGGTCAAAATAACTAAAAAGGCCAAAAATCATAGATTATAACTCAAGAAATCATGAAATTTGGCCTACATGAAATGATTTGCCAACATGTCAGATTGTCTAAAAATGGCTATAATTCGTATGTACAGCTTATAAAATCATAAATTTTATCTCTGTGAAATTATTTGCCAAAGAATTCAAGCAACAAAAACCGACCAAAAATTGTGAGTTGCTCATGAAATTGGGAATTTTGGTCTACATGAAATTATTTACCACTAGGTCGCAATGAATAAAAACGGCCAAAAATCATGGGTTGTAGCTTCAAAATCAGGATTTTAGTTTGTAAGAAGATATTAGCTAACAGGCCAAAATGACTAAAAATAGCAAGAAATCACTTGTAGCTAATAAAATTTTAAATTTTTTACATCCACAACATTATTTTCCAAGGGGTTGAAAAAGTTGAAAATGGCCAAAAATGATAGATTATAGCTTATAAAATCGTGAATTTTATCCACAATAAAATTATTTGACAACGGATTGACATGTCATAAAAGAGCTAAAAATAACTAGTTATATCTCAAAAAATTGTGAATTTCGACCTGCGTGAAATAATTTGCCAACGGGTTAAAACGAATAAAAATGGCCAAAAATGCAAGTAAGGTCATGAAAATGTGAGTTTTAGTATCCACAAATTTATTTGCCAATAGGTTGAAATGACTAAAAATGGCCAAAAATCGTAGGTTATAACTCATGAAATCATGACTTTTGGTTTCCACAAATTTTTTTGCCAACGAGTCAAAATCAGAAAAAGGATAAAAATCATATTTTATAGATCATAAAATCATGAATTTTGGCGCCCACGAAATTATTTGTCAACGAGTCAAAACAACTAAATATGACAAAAATTTGTGGGTTAGAACTTACAAAATATTGATTTTTGGCCTATGCTAAATTATTTGCCAAAGAATTGAAACAACTAAATATGGTAAAAATTGTGGATTATAGTTCATGAAATCATAATTTTTGGCATATGTGAAAATTACTTGCTAAAGAATTAAAACAACTAGAAATGACAAAAGTCGTGAGTTATAACCTAGGAAATTGTGAATTTTGGTCTTTACAAAATTATATGCCAACGGGTCAAAACGAAGATAAATAGGCGAGTATCATGGGTTATAACTCATGAAATCGTAAATTTTAGCCCCATGAAATTATTTGCCAATGGGTTAAAATGACTCGTAACGACCAAAAATCATATATAGTAAAATGTAGGTACAAAACTTGGCATGCAGGTCTGTGACGCCCATGTTTTCACACATGGCTGTAGTCCAAGGTGAACCAGAGATGTTAAACCTGCCATGCATCCACATTGTGCAATAACAAGTTTCACCAATCACATTAATATCCTCTAGTGGAATTAATGTAAAATGTAGGTACAAAACAGGTAAAAGAAAGGAAATATAGCTAAAAAAATCGTGATTTTTGGCATCAGCAAAATTATTTGCCAACAAATTAAAATAACTAAAAATGATGAAAACATGAATTATTGCTCATGAAATTATGAACTTTGGCCTCCGCGAAACATTTTGCAAAGAGTTAAAACAAGTAAAAATGATCAAAAAAGTGGGTTATAACTTTTAAATCATGAATTTTGGCCACCCTAAAATTATTTAACAAAAAATGAGAACAACTAATTATGGCCAAAGATTATGGGTTATAGCTTATGAAATCATGATTTTTGGTATTTGTAAAATTATTTGCCGATGAATTCATACAACTAAAAATGATAAAAAAACATAAGTTATAGCTCAAGAAACTGTAAACTTTGACCTTCACGATATTAGTTGCCAATGATTTGTAGCTCATGAAATCATGATTTTTCGTCTTCACGAGATTATTTGTCGACGAATCAAAAAAGACTAAATATGGCCAAAATCATGGGTTATAGCAAACAACATCTTGATTTTTTGGCTTTCACGAAATTATTTGCCAAAGAATTGAAACAACTAAAATGAACAAAAAGCTTGAGTTATAGCTCACAAAATTGTGAATTTTGTTCTTCACGTAAACAAAAAAAATGGGCAAAATTTTTGATTATAGCTCATGCAATTATGAATTTTAGCCTCTGGAAAATTAA